ACCGCCTGAGTCCAGCAAGTTGGTGGCTGCGGTGGCTGTGAGAGTGCCACTGCACTCCAGCCTGGGTGACAGAGTGAGATTCCCACAAGAAAGAAAAGAAAGGAAAGAAAAGAAAGAAAAGAAAGAAAGAAAGGAAGAAGGAAGGAAGGAGGGAAGGAAGGAGGGAAGGAAGGAGGGAAGGAAAGAGGGAAGGAAGGAGGGAAGGAAGGAGGGAAGGAAGGAGGGAAGGAAGGAAGGAAAGAAAGAAAGAAAGAAAGAAAGAAAGAAAGAAAGAAAGAAAGAAAGAAAGAAAGAAAGAAAGGAGACCCTCACAGATACGCCCAACTGAATTTTCACAAAGAAGCAAGAACAATTCAATGGAGGAAAGATAAGTCTTTCAACAAATGGTGCTACAGTAAGTGGATATTCATGGTCAAGAAAAGAAAAAAAGAACTTCAGTCTAAATCTCATACCTCACATAAAAACTCAAAATAAATTATGAACTTAAATGTAAAACATAAAACTATAAAATCTCAGAGGGGAAAAAAACCCAGAAAATCATCAGGATTAGGGTTAGGCAAAGAGATCTTAGATTTGACACCAAATCAAAACCAATAAGAGGAAAAAGTCAATGAATTGGACTTCACAAAAATTAAAAATTTTTGCTCTGTTAAAGACCCTGTTAACAGAATAAAAAGACAGGCTACAGACTGGAAAAAAATATTTTCAAACCACATATCTGACAAAGGACCAGTATCTAGAATACATAAAGAACTCTCAAAACTCAGTGAGAAACAAACAACCCACCCACCCAATTATAAAATGGCCAGAAGACAGATATTTCACCAAAGAGGATGTATACCAAATACGCTCATGAAAAGATGTTCAACATCACCAGCCATCAAGGACATGCAAATTAAAACCACAATAAGATACCTATGGGAATGGCTGAAATAGATTGTGATGATCTCATATGACACCACCAAAGAGCAGCAAGGATGTGGATCACTCATACGTGGTTGGCAGGAGTATAAAATTGTGCAGCTACTCTGTAAAACAGTGAGGCAGTATCTTTAAAAAAAAAAAAAAAAAACCAAGCATGCAACTACCAAGCACACAGTCCATTAATTGCACTCTTGGGTATTTATCCCAGAGAAATAAAAACTTATGTTCACACAATGCATACACGAATGTTTAGAGCAGCTTTATTCCTGAAATCCAGACACAATCCAGTTGTTCTTTGATGGATAAATAGTTAAACAAACCGGTATGTCCGTACCATGGACATACTCAACAATCAGGAATAAACTACTGATACATGCAACAACCCGGGTGAATCTTCAAAACACCAGGCTTAGTGAAAAGAGCCATTCCCAGAAGTTTCCCTACAGTAGGATTCCATTTATAACATTTTTGAGATGATAAAATTATAAAAAATGGAGAAAAGATTAATGGTTGCCAGGAGTTTAAGAAAGGGCTGAGAATGGGAAGGAAGTGGGTGTGACTATAACAGGACAACAAGAGCAATCCTTGTAATGATGGAAATATCTCTTATCTTGATTGTATCAACATCAATATCTGGTTGTGATATTGTACCATAGTTTTGCAAAATTGTTTCCAATGAACACTCAAATAAAAAGAATACTTAAACTGAGTTATGGTTGATTGACATTTCAGCCTGAGCTTATGCTATAGTGAAGAGCTCTTGGCAGGAAGGAGGAACAGAGAGGGCATCAGATTCAACACACATGTTGTGACTTTTGCTCCTTTAAAAGAAAAATAAGCCTTGTGATCACCTAAAAAAAAAAAAAATTTCCAGTGGCAGAAAATGGCTAAAAGAGTACATGGGATCTATGTCATTTCTTATCGCTGCATTAAATCCATAGTAACCTCAAAATAAAAATTCTTTTAAAAAGTAGTACATATTCATTGTAGGAAATTTCTAAATGCAGATTAGGAAGATCTAATTTGGTTACATACAGATATGCTAATAGATACAGTATTAATATATGTGGGGGCTTTTCAAATATATATTGACTACTTTTAATCACAGTAAAAAGATGCCGTTCATCATGTTTTTCCCCTATAAATTTGCTTCAGGGACTCCTGAGATACTTTAAAGAGTTACACAGGACTCTGAAGTTCATGGATGGCTCCCACTGGGCCAAATCCTAGCAGAGTGTGGACTTGATTTCCTCTTGAGTCTCAACTAGGAGCAATTAATTATAATGGCCATCTCCAGGACTATGTTGCAAGAGTTTTGAGGCAATCTCTGAACCCAAATCAGAACACTGTGATTGACTAGCAATGTCTACCATTGTCATCGGGTGCAGGAGTGGTCATACACATGCCAAAGATTTGTCACCTCTGTAGGATGAAAGTTTAAAAAAAAAAGAAAGGCTGGGTTCGGTGGCTCAGCCTGTAATCCCAGCACTTTGGGAGGCTGAGGCAAGTGGCTCAGCCTGTAATCCCAGCACTTTGGGAGGCTTAGGCAACTATGCCCGCAGGTTCAAGACCAGCCCCAGCAACTTGGTGCGACCTCGTCTCTACAATAAACCTAAAAAATTAGCTGGGTGTGGTAGCTTGCACCTGTAGTTCTGGCTACTTGGAAGACTGAGGTGGAAGGATCGCCGGAGCCCAGTAGGTCGTCGCTGCAGTGGCCGTGAGTGTGCCATGGCACTTCAGCCTGGGCGACAGAGTGAGACTCCAACTCAAAAATAAAATAAAATAAACCTTAAAAACTACAAGACATTTTGTTAATAAAATCTCCCAGGCAAAAGTTCTTGAAACTCACCCACTTTCTGTCATATCCAAGAATTGTGTTGTACATTGAGTAACTACATATTTACATGAGTAATCTTTCATCTTTTAGTCCAATAAATTGCAAATATAAAGAACAGCCTCAGATTTTTTACAGTAATTAATTCTTTGTCCTAAGAGTATTACACAGTCTACCACATAAAACTTCTTACTTCGTTGAGAGAATGATCAACTAACAAGCATTATTTAATGCTGTGTATCAGATATGAGGCAACCAATTTTTTTAATCACCAATAAAAATCATTGAGACAATAAATGTGAACACTGCTTAAAGTTATAGGAAATATGAGGTATCTGTACTCTGAAAACTTCCGGCCTATTGGGGGGATGCTGAGGATTACAAAACAATCATAATAGGCAAGTGCTCTCATAGGGGCAGACAGAATGCTATAGGAACCCCTATAATTCATATAGACATGAATTATTAGCTGGACTTGGGGGATCAGGAAGTCCCCCTGAAAGAGATGGCATCTCAGGTGATGCCCAGAGAACAAGAATGAAAGGACAGGGAGGAGGAAAGAAAGACGGAGGAAAGTATCCCAATCAAGAGCATTTTTAAGTATCAGGGTCAGAAAAGACAGTCGAGTGATTAAGATTGAAAAGACAAGCAGAAATTCAGGTCATATAGAGCACGATATGCCAGAGTCCAGAATTTAAATATTTTCCTGACTGAAAATGTTTAAGCTGGAGGGTAAAAAGGATTACATTCAGATGGGGAACAAGACCAGAAACAAAATACGTTGTGGTAGAAAGCTTAAGGATGTTTCAACAATTAAGTTTCACTTCCAGTTTTTTGGTTTTGCTGAGATTCAGTAGAATTAAATTCAAAAATTTAATGAGCAGCTCCTCTAGTACGATTTTCTTATCAAATTACTTGTATTATCAAATTACTTGAAATTCCTAAATCTCTATGTATACAAGGTCTGACAATTAGATTTGCGAGCCTCTTAGAAAAAGAGCTATATTCCTCACTGTTGAATATCACTACTGCCACCTTCAAAGTACTCCCCTTGGGAAGCTATGTACCAACATCAATGCCTAGTTCACCCTTCAGTGCAATTTGAGAACTCTTTTTCTGGAACGACCATCAGAGTTCTCATCATTATTTGGTGCGGTCAGACAATTAAGTTCACAAAATTACCACATGCGCTTACACTGACAGCACTTTACAAATAATTGTGTAGGAACACCCTCCCTACTCACCTGATCCAGCCCCCAATGACTTTTTCTTTACCCAAAGAAAAAGGAAATATTGAAAGGAAGACATTTGATGACATTCAGGACATCAAGGGTAATATAACAACAGCTCTGAAAATTGCTTTGATGGGTGGACTAGGTGCTGGCATGGGCACATAGCTTCCCAAGGGGAGTACTTTGAAGGTGACCGTAGTGCTATTCAGCGATGAGGCATGCAGCATTTGATCTAGAATAAGTTCATGAACTTGATTGTCATACCTCGTACATAGGATAACTGCAAAGATGGTCACTGTTTAATGTTAATAGTAATTTCTAGCTGGATGGTATAGATTTTTTTTTTTTTTGGTGTCTTGTTTCTCTAATTAGCTTGAATATTTTATAATGAGCATATAACATTAATAAAAATGAGTCAATTTTAAATCTATTAAGAGTCTTAGAAATACACCAAATTTTTAAAAATTTTGTATCCTACAGTCATTTTCAAACAAGTTCTTACTGGGCTTGTGAAATAGAACAGTTACAGTTGGTAACAAAGTAGAAGACAGAATACTACATGCAGGATCCCTCTCCACTAAATGAAAGTCTACTTTTTAAAAAAAAATGTCTAATGAAGAAACACAAACTTTTAAAACTTTCTTGCAACAAATGAAACTAGAAAGGTATTAAAAACACAGTAAGTTTATTCAAATTGATACTTTTCATAATTCATTGACTCTTGTCACAGGTATCTTCATTCTATTACTTAACTGGGTCCATTCACTAATATTATATAAAACATCATAGAAAATTAAATAACTAAAATTACAGCTAAGAACAGAGTCATGATCTGTGTGAAAGGAGTCCCCATACTGTACCCTAGTTCCTAACATGGTCATTTTTTGTTTCATGGGCCTCTCAACCTTAGACTCATTTTCATTTTGGAGAAAATAAACCTGCTTCTCTGAGCTCTCTCCTACCACATGACCAGTTCCCTGCATTATCGGTTTGTGTTAACCCAGTGGTACCTATCTATCCGGTGTATAGCAGGCCTGTAACACTTAGGATGCTTCTGCAAGACATGGAGAGGGTTTCCCAGGAGAGCTACGCGGCCATTCACCATGTTCTTTTTGCAGGAGATTTGGAACCAAGACTGAAAGGGATGTTTCAAATGTTCAACCTGGAAAAAAAAATAATAAAGCTTTCTAATAATCTAGCTCTAAGGACTAAATATGAATCCATAACTCAGAAATTAAGCCTTTCAAAAACATGAAAGTACAAATGAATAAGACTGAAAATAGATAACCACGTTGAAAAATTCAGCAGCACTTGGAAGGGGCATAAAGTTACTCTATACTGTACCTTTTAACAAAATTAGCTCTTTAATCCAACTAAAAAAATTTTAAACACAAAAAAAAATGTGTGTATGTTTTTGGATTCTCTCCCTATCCCCACCCACAACCCTGCCAGCCAAGTCCAAAACTGACTATTCATGATCTCTGGGGCCAAGGCCGAGAAATATCCATTTTAAAATGCCAGATGACTGAAACATATGTTTTACAGAACACTTTGAAAAGACATTGCTGTAAAAGAATATGGGTGACTATAGAGCTGATCCCTAGATGGAGTACCTTTCTAAGCATAAAAATAGAATTTAAGAGCAAAATTCTCACTTATCATCATCAATAGTTTCTTGGAAACTGACTTTAAGCAAAATGAGGTAGAGCAAGTCCTCAAATAACATCATTTCATTATAATGCTGAGAAAAACAATTGGTTTTCTAAGACATGGTTTTGCTTAAACTTGCAGTCTTCAAAAGCCTACCCAGGATGTTAAAAGTGAGGACTTTACTGTCTTCTTGATATAGTTTTAAACTGTTACACCTACAGAACTATATGTAAACTATACACACACACACACACACACACACACACACACAAATATACTCTAGAAAACTAGGCAAAAAACATTTGCCAATAATACAACAATGGGTTAAAATACTTATCTATGAAGAGCCAATAATAATAAATTAAGACTTCAAATAATGAATGGGTAAAGAAGAGAACGTTCATAAGACAGTAAGTATTAAAACATTTAGGCACATGGAAATTTTTTAAATGTTTAACTTCATTAATACTATCTATTACAGGTGCACATCATTTTTATCAAATTGTCTGTTTTTAGATAGAAATAACCAATTCTAGGAAAAATAGTAAAACAGGCACTTTTACATAGAGCTAGTGAGACTACAGATAAGTGCAACTCTCTATCTGGTACTTTGGCCATATATGTAAAAACAGAAAATTTTTTTTAAAAATGAGTGAAGCATCCATACCCAATGACCCAGTAATTTTATGCCCGAGAATCAAATCTCTAGAAATAACAAAATTCAGACATCAGTATACAAATTATCAGCTTTTTTATATGGCAACAATGTGGAAACAATCTAGAATGTCTGATAATAATAGTAAATTACAACTGAAGCAAATGAATATTTAAATATTAACACTTTAACAATAAATAAGTGATTAATTCAAGGAAACATACAAACAAGTCTATACATACAAAGTGTCAGAGACTTTCTCTAGATCAATGTTTTCAAACTGTTGGTCATGAAATCAATGTAGGTGCTTAAAATCAATTGAATTTAATTAGAAATGTTGATAGCATTGCTCCCAATAAGTACTGTTACATGAAACTTTCTATATAAATGTGTAATATGGATATCTTTCAATAAGTTGTAATTTTTTTTAAAGGTGTGGTTTCTTTATTTTGAGAAAAACTGCTCTAGTGGCAAAATTATACACTTTGACCTTTACTAAATATTTCAGACTTTTTCATAAATACCATGTTATTTTTGTTTGACAAAAAAAAAAAGCCCACTAATCTTAATATTTAAGTGGAAGGAATTTAAGTGGAAGAAACCTATGTATCTTCAAACACTGTATGAAGAAACAGGACAACAAAAAATTATATCGATTTTTAAAAACTCACCCAAGCAGAGGGAATATATGGGGTAGGGATGACAGCAAAAGTTTTGCCAAAACAGTCAAATTGTCAAGAAGGAAGCAGGGGGAAATAAATGAAAAAGATAATAATAATTAAGATTGGTTTTTTTAAAAATCTTTGTAGTTTTGTTCTTTCCATGTTCTATTTGTTTTTACAGTAAGCACATTCTTTTTAGAATAGAATAGAAAAAGATAGAGAACAAGAACACACTTGACCTGATAAATACTCTTCGGATTGCTGACTTTGGGGATGAGCCGAGGTCTCTTGCTACAACTTTCTTCATCGGAGGAAGTGCCATAGGAATAGTCTAAAGTGGCTCTGTCAACAGCATAACTGATTTGCTGAAAGAGCTCCCATTCCTCCCATCTGCCTCTAAAAGAAGCAATTGTAAATGGATGGTTTTTCTCACCATACCTAAGGAGGAAAAGAAACTTAAGTATTTAATAGAGATTCGATGTCCCACAAATTTTCTCTCTAATCCTTTCTGTAGACAATATGCTAACTTAAAAAAAAAAAAGTTATTTTAAAAGAGATAAGCCTTAAAAAAAAAAACAAATTGAAGGACATTATGACCTTCAGCTATTACACTGTTACAATTAGTGAGAATATTCTGAAAGAGCTATTTTGGTTAATTGTTCAGAAAAAGATAGACCAGTTTATTTTGATTCAACTGACAGTATGAATGGCTCCATGGTGGACAACTCCTCCTCCTTCCTGATACTGCCTATGATACTTGGAAGTCACAAATCTACAGTTTGCCAATGATTAAAGTCACATTTTAAATATGCTGCAAAATCTTTGTGCTTCCCACTTCATCTTCTAATAGTGGAAGTCTGAGTTGTCTGACAGAAGTTTCCATTTAAAATCTTAACCAAGTAGCGACTTTGCTGTTAACCCAAGGCTTTGGGGCATCGTCTTTCACAAAGGTACATAGAACTGACCAAACAAATGAAGGTTTCCAGGGGTCACAGAGCACACAAACGGAGAGTGCTTACCTACAGCACACTTCAAAGGGATCCACCCATATGGTCATCTCTTTTGGAAGTCCCAGGTGAGAAAAATCCACATTACTTTCAGCACATGCCCTTTCTAGAATGGGATCTGTAGTCTGATTTGCATTTATCCTGATACATCTTTTAAAAAGGGAGGAGAAGGAGATGAAGACAGGATGACAGGTACTTTAGCACACCGTTCCAAAACACACAGCTCCCACCTCACCCCTACCTTCTCCCCATTTTCCTCCACACTTTGCTGCTATAAGTAAGAGCAAGACATTGCCAATTTTGGATGTGTGTTGCATCACTGAGTCACATAATTAGTTCACCAGATATTCACCTCTTAGCTTCACGGCAAACACGAGTTAGAAATTGCTGAATCACCTCGCATTAAAGGGGTTTGCTCTAACGTTTTCAGGTACACTGTCATCTTCCATGTCTCCTTTCAAGTCCACGTTCAAAAAAATGAGTATGAACCCATAAAGCTTTCAATACTTATAGACAGACAGCAACATCATTGCAGCTTCCTAACAGATGATTACTGCTTGTTGGTGACTTCCTTTGCGCTCACCTGAAGGCTTGTCCTCTAGAAGGGCAATCAGAGTGCCAATGACTCCTGTATGTTTCAAACAAGATTGTCATCAGCTTTTCTGCAAAGTCTTCTATTTGCTGTTTACTCAGTTTATCATGCTTTTTCACCAATCTTGTGACAAAGAAAACTGTTGTTGCAATTTCATCTCTCATGATTCAAGAAAAATATATAAGAAGGTCTGAAATCATTAAAAGGAAGCAAGAAAAAATTACACAGAAATAAGGGTTTTACTTCTTATATTTAGTTGTCACTGGGAAATTTTATATATTTTAAGTTTAAAATAAATCATTTGCTACAAAGAAGTCCTTAATGAACTCAAAAAGCCCATCAACACCATCAATCCACAAGACCGCCAAGAACACCGATTCCTCAACCAGCCCGTTTTAGGTTTTTTAAGGGAAAAAAATATTTTTAAAGCTATAAAACTCTTGAGAGATAAGTAAGACAACATTATGCAACTTTAGTAAAAATAAATAAATAAATCCCAATAAGGGCAGTAATTTCACCAAGCAACACTTTTTAAAAACATTTTTACAAAGAGCAAAACATTTCAGAAGTACTTCTAAAATGTGGCTCTCAAGTTGCACACTTGAAGTTAAGATTAATCAAGCATATACTTGCCAGCAAAAAGCTTATTATACCCATCAAAAAGCAGGTCAGAGGTAGAAGACTAACTGTACTACACTGTTTTACAGCTCTCACCACTTCTACTTGTAAGTTTTAGGCTGAAGTTTATATCAGCCTGAGTCCTAAATCCTGATGACTGTTTCACCTTACACAGGTGCTGTCCATTAGGATAAACATACAGCTTTTTCCAGGTCTTCATCAGATTGCCCCTTGGCATAAGTAGAATGGGATCTTTATTTAAAATGTTTAAAGATTTTCAAGTTGGATTAATAGCTTCTGTTTTGCTATTAAAATCTTATCTTTTAGGACACAGAATGAGAAAAGCCTTCACCTTCCACATCTTAATAGCCTATAAAATGTTTTAAGACAATTTATTTTAAATAGTCCTTATGTTGACTACACTTTTTTTTTACTAAAATATTTATTTATAGAATCCATGAAAGAGACCTGAGCTTATCAAGTCTCACTGATTCTCAAAGGGTGAGTCAGTGACCACCTACTTTGGACTCTCTGGGTTGCTTGTTAAAAAACACAGATTCTTGGACCTCATCCCAGATCTGCTGAAGCACTTACTCTGAAGGCAAGGCCTGAGGGTCAGTATTTAACAAGTTCCCCCAGGTGATTCTCATACCCACTAAAATTTAAGAATCACCACCTGGCATATATAAATCTTTAACAACCTTGATTAGTGGTCATTCCGTTTCCTCACCTGTGAAAAAGAATTCACTCTCTTAGAGGGAAGCCTATTTCATTTCTTAAAGCTCCAAATACCAGTCAATTCTTCCTTTTTAGATGGAGCCAAATCCACCTCTTTGATTTTCTCTATATGCAGCTTACTCTTTCCCTCTGAAACTATACAGATTGCATCCAACCCTCCACCACATGGTGAAGCTTCAAATACCAGCTATTCAGCCTCCCTGAGTTCTCTCTTTGTGAAAATCAGTGCAGAGATTTCTCTAAGAACCAAGAGTAGATCTACCATTTGACCCAGCAATTCCACTACTAGGTATCCACCCCAAAGAAACAGAGATCATTATACAAAAAAGACACCTTCCCTTATCACCATGGCCACCTTGGAAGTACTCCCCTTGGGAAGCTATGCACCAATGCCAGCGTCCAGTCCACCCATCAAAGCAATTCTGGAACTCTTTTTCTGGAATGGCCATCAGAGGTTGAAAATGTCTGACAATTAAGTCTGCAAAATTACCACTATGCCCTTACGTTGTCAGCATTGTACAAATAACTATATTGGAACACCCTCCCTACTCACCAGATCTGGCTTCCAATGACTTTTTTCTTTACTTGGAGAAAGGAAATAATTGAAAGGAAGACATTTGATGACATTCAGTACATCAAAGGTAATACGACAACATCTCTGATGTATGTGTGTGTATATACATACATACCATGGAATACCTTTCAGCCATAAAAAAGAATAAAATGTCTTTTGTGGCAACTTGGGTGGAATTGGAGAATACCATTCCAAGTGAAGTAACACGGAAGCGAAAAACCAAACACCCCATGTTCTCACTTATAAGTAGGAGCTAAACTAAGGAACTGCAAAAACATAGAGAACGACATAATGGGCATTGAAGACTCAGAAGGGGAAAGATGGGAGGGAGGTAGAGATGAAAAATGTGCACAGGTGGGGGTGGAGGATACACTTAAAGCCCAGACTTCAGGGCAACTCCTACGGGTCCCCTCCCACTGTGGGAGCTTTTCTGTCCTCTCAATAAATTCTGCTTTCAAAAAAAAAAGCCCAGACTTCACCACTATACAATGTGTTTATGTAACCAGAAGTCATTTGTACTCCCTAAAGCCATTGAAATAATTTTTTTAAAAGACCAGTGTGAAACTGTCACCTCCCTTGCTCTGAATATTGGATTCCAGGACGCAGCCTCAAGTGGTATCCCTTGTTGGTAGTGGCATCACACCACTGCCCCACATGGAACTAAGAAGTAAATACTTGCTGGGCTCGGTGGCTCAGCCTGTAATCCCGCACCTTTGGGAGGCTGAGGTGAGTGGATTGCCTGGGCCCACGGGTTCGAAACCCACCTGGGCAACTTGGCAAGACCTCATCTCTACAATAAATCAAAAAATTAGCCGGACGTGGTAGCACGCGCCTGTAGTTCCAGCTACTTGGAAGGCTGAGGCGGAAGGATCGCTGGAGCCCAGCAGGCGAGGCTGCGGGGGCCGGGAGCGGCCACTGCACTCCTGTCTGGGCGACAGAGTGAGACTCCGACTCAAAAAAAAAAAAGAAATAAAGAAATCGGCTATGAAATCAACATTGTAGAATTGAATCCTAGTCCTGTAGCTTACTAGAAACTTGAGTTTCCCAACCGCTCTAATTTTCAAGATCCGCATCTGTAAAAGGGGGTTAAGAAATGAACCTACTAATCCTTTAGAATTAAACTGCTTACTTTGGATGCTAGTCCAATTCACAACGTGACCTTAGCAAATTATTTAACTTCTCTATGCCTCAATTTCCTCCTCTATAAAAAGAAGACAACCGTGCCCACCTTTTAGGGTTGTTATGAGATTTAAATGTAAAATGCCTAGAATAGCATCGGGTACTCGGTAAGTGCTCTCTAAGTAAATTAGGGTAATGCAAATACCTTGATGTTGCTATTACTACCAGTCATACCACTGTTACTGTTTTACAGAATTCTTGTCAAGATTAAACCATAAAATTATATGAAGCACTTAACAAGAGCACCTGGCATAAAACAAATGCTCAAGAAGTGGCCTTTCTTATTAATAAACGTAAGAATATCCTCCTCATTCTCCCCTTCCTCCTCTTTTTCTTCCTCTTCTCCCTCTTTCACCTCCTCCACCTGGGACTCCAGACAGGAGTTTTACAATCTCTTCTCTGGGTTTTATGGAGACTTCTTTTATGCTCTGTGTTGGTCTGTTAAAGCCCTCTGTCAACCTTAAAAGTGCACAGGAAAGGGCAATCGGAATTCAAATGCATAATTTCATTATAAGCCATTTCTAATCCTGTATGACTTCAGTGGAGTCTAAAACACCTATATATTGCAGTTATACGTATCATACCTCATTGTGTTTCATTTAAATCATCACTACAGAGAATTTGGATTATTTGTGACCCTGATTTTGTTATCTGGTGAATGATCTTTTTTGACATCAGCTCCTGGGATGCTGGGGTGCTATAACTGTTAAAACTTCCACAGCGATGAACTGAGATGTAATACAGGTATTAGGGAGGGAGTGAACTGGCTATTTATATGACACTGGAAAGGTATAAGAAATGTTAAGTATAAGGATACAGAAGTTGGTTAAGGGACAAAGAGACAGAAGTTAGTTCTAGTATTCAATAGTAGTGAACTTATAGTTAACAATAACAATATTTATTTCAAAGTAACTAGAAGACAAGATTTGTAGTTTCCCAAAACAAAGAAAAATGTTTGAGGTGATGGATATCCCAGTTACTCTGATGAGCATGACACTCTGTATACAATATCAAAACATCACAAGTACCCCGAGAACATGTATAACTCTCATATATCAGTGTTTTAGAAACTTTTTAAAGGACTAGTGAAATGGATGGCTGAGCATCTTGATATCCAAGAATGATAACAATTTAAGATTGAATTAAGGATGGTTCAGTGCAACTCAGTAAATATCTAAACATCTACCCCATGCCTAGGACATATAAAAATAAAACAAAGGTGAATTTAGGACCTTAACAATCTTCGAGTGCCACAGTAGCTCATTTATTTCATCTGTCCATGATACAGTTCTTATTCCCCTTCTTCATTGGTGGGGATTCCCAAGTTTCTGCCCCTTGGAAGCACCTGAAGATCTTTTAAAAATCCTGACACTTTCTACCCCTCCCCCCAGACATTGTGACTCAATTGGTATGGTAACCAGGGCAATAGGATTTTTTAAAACTCCCCCAAGTGATTCTATGTATGGCAAAAGTGGACATCATGAAGACAGATATCTCCTAGCCACCAAGGAGATTTTAAATGTATTTTACACTTTTGATTGACTAATAATGCCTTAAGCTTAAAAAAGATTCTTATGACAAATTTTGCATCATTTATTCTCATCTTTTCTAGCCATTTGCTGGGGTAATTTTTGCAAAGATTGTTTCTTAAATGCATGCTAGAAGGAACAAAACTGAAAATCAGGACAACTCCCTGGAAATTGCTGAAATGAAATTTGTTTCTGCACTAAAGGCAACATGCATTTGCAAATACAAATTTTTTTTTTCTTTTCAAATGGTTAGTGTTTGCATTTACAATAGTAAAATGGTACCAGGCATTTAGTAATTCTTTCATGACCTTACCTTCCCGGATGACATACTGTACTCTGCACTTTGAGTTGGTGAGGCACATTAACTGATGAGGTTTTGAATCCTCTCCTCGTACTATTTCTGCAACAGGCCCAGACAGGCCTTGGAAGTTATGAATAGAACAGCAGATAACAATGTACTTAGATTTCAGGAAAGAACAATCAAATAAAAACTAAACATGGGGACCAAAGGGAGGTCTAAACTTTACCTGTACGCTGACCACTTGTATATCTAAC